TTGAACCAGACTGCCCGCTGAGATTAACATTTTGTGAACGATTTCTCCAGTTAATATTCCAAGATTAATTGGAATTACTTCGGCAAGAACTTCCTGGAGATCTCGAAGAAATAGCCATTAATACTAGACGACAAATGTGCTCCAATTTTAAATGCAGCACAGCCTCTTTTGTTGCTCTATGCGCGCACAATCAAGGTGCTGTTGGTATCAAGAATTGGAGCACCTGTTCTCCACGTGATACTGAAGGTATACCGGGTGATTCAGTTTGGTATTCGCGGCCCTGTATCTCTTTTATTTTAACAAATAGCTCTAAACAAACCCTACATATTTTTAAATCGCCGGTCAAACTCTATCAAACGACATTATTAGTCGTCTCCATGGTAACATATGTCAAAATTGCTATAGTCAACTGTTTTTGTTCAAATGGCACACTAAATATTTTTTTATCAATTCTGGAAGATATTTTTTTTCTGCGTTCAGCTATGTAAGGAAGCCTATAGTTTTATTAGAAATATTGCTAGAAAAACAGCAAAAAAAATTAACCCTACTTTTCGTAGCCTTATTCTGAAAAATGATAGCCAGCTACGGAAACAAGCTACTATGTTTTTAAAGTAACATATTTTATTTTTAATACGATAATAATGTAACAATTTAAAACAATACTTATTTCAAATGTTCAAAATGACCTCCATTTGCTTCCAAACACAGAACTCCCTCTCTATAAACACATTCTAGTGTTTCTTCATTTAATCCCCTCTACTCTTATTCTGCTTTAAAGGTCGTCAATATCATTTAGGTAAGGTCAAAGAAAGAAATCTATAGGAGTGAGATCCGGACATCTAGCAGGTCATTTAACATCTTTATCGAACGTGCTTCATCTCTTGCCCTTCTGGGTTTAAAAACTCTTTCTTTTGAAAACTTCCATCTGCCGCTAAATTCCTGTCCAACTTTCCGAAAATTTTATCTGATGGAAGTTGTCTCTGGAAAACGATGTTGCTATAAATACCTGGCAGCTTTAGCATTCTTTCGGTCCTCTCCATAAATTAAAATCATATCGTTTTTCTTGGTTACTGTAAGTATTCATGTTATAATTAGTTATTGATAGAATAGGTAGGTACAAAATGTCAATTATTTTGACAAGCCGTTGTTTAGAAACGTCAAAATTCAGTTGTTTCCGCAGTTGGCTATCATTTTTCAGAATAAAGCTATGGAAACTAGGGTTCATCTTTTTTGCTGTTTTTCTAGTAATATTTCTAATGAAACTATAGACTTCCTTATATATATGAACGCAAAAAAAATATATCTTTCAGAATCGATAAAAAAATATATAGTGTGCCATTTGAACAAAAACAGTTGACTATAGCAATTTTGACATATGTTACCATGGAGACGATCTAATAATGTCATTTGATAGAGTTTAAGCGGTGATTTAAAAATATATGAGGTTTGTTATAGCTATTTGTTAAAATAAGAGATACGGGACCGCGAATATCAAACTGAATCACCCGGTATATTAAGATATGATTTTGGTCTATATAACACCTATTTTTATATTCAGTTTTTTAGCCTAAGGGGTGGTTTTCATACCCTAAAAATAAGAAGCGCATATCAAGCACTTTTCATTTACAGGGTGAAATAAACTTAATTCCAAATTTTCATAAAAATCGGATCTACCCGAAAGTATT